ATTGCAGATGATTTGTCTAACTACGATGAAGAAGGTACTAGAAGTTGTAGGACTTCACAGGGTTACCAGAGATGCTCACACCTCCCGTGGATGCTAATGGACTACTCCAGAATGAGGGGCAGACACGGGCCCAGAAGGGCCACCCACCCAGAGGGATGAGAACAGTATACTGACTTAACTTCCTTGACAGCTTCTAGAACCACAAAAATCCTGGCTAGGATGATTGGAGATGTTATCCTGAGTCTATCCATATTTCCCCTAATGCCAGAGAACCCCACATTAGAGACATTTAAGGACCTCCCATACAGTAGCACTGCTCCCCGAGAGGAGCCTGGTTCTGGGTAGCTGGGCTCCCCTCCAAATGTAACTGGCCTGGACTTTGTCCAGGACATCTTCACTCCTCATGCTTTATGGCCACTACCCTGTTAGTGACAGCATCCAGTTCATGCACTGCCCCTCATCTCTGTATCCTCTACACTAAACACAGTGCCCCGTTCATAACAGATGCCTAATGAAAGTTTCGTGTGTAAAAGAAGGGAGAGTTGAATGTAGACAGCTTGGTTTTCAGGGGCCATAATTGTCCCTGGTAAAACTAACTTGTCTGGCAGAGGAGCTGTGGGAGCTGTGGTGCCCTGCACTGGGCAGAGGAGCTTGGGAGCCATGGTGCCCTGCACTGGGTAGATCTGGGAGTCTCTGTTAAGGAGTCAGAGAAAGAATGCTCATGACTAAGGATTAATGCTCCTTGGCCCCTGGGAAGCTGTGGGTCCATTGTTTCCATTCCCAGTCAGCAGGTTCTAACTTCCCATAAATTGGCTGAGGCCTGAGGCCACCTTGTAGGCCCAGTCAGTGAGAGTGTGGTCTCAAGGCCATTATACCTACCACTCACCGACCCTGTTCCCTGGAACAGAAGAACTGAGCGACTTCAGCGGGTCATTTGATCAGATGCAAGCTTCGGATTGTTCTTTAGATGTTGGGATTGGGGAAAGAATATTTTTAATATAAAAATACTGGGATAAGACTTACTTTGACACTCTATTTGTTTTCCTTTAGGAGCCTGGCCTGTCCTTATAGATGACTTTGTAGAATATGCAAGACCAGTGGTCACGGGTGGGAAACGTGGCCCTTTCTAAGTGAAAAATCAGATAGATGGAGGGTAAGACAAGATGGACCCTGAAAGGACAGCTGAGTTGGTTGCTGTGTGCGTTTGTTGCTGACTTCAGAAGTCTTCCTCGTCCATTCATGAAACAAATCCTTACTCCGCTTAAAGGCTGCAGCGGCTGACGTGTAGAAACGGAGAAGCTCCTCAGGATGCTAGGGATGTGTCATCAGAGCTATTGCTTTAGGAGACACCTGCATGACTTGTCTTTACAGAAAGCAACATAGAGCCTGTTGGCAGGGCTGAGAGCATGCTGTTGAGTTCATGATGTCAAGGTGAGCACCAGCGGTTTCCAAAGCTGTGGAGTCACATTGTAATTATGCTTCAAAGTATCACCTGTGTCTGCAGAGTGATGGATCTCTTACACAAGTCCAAGCTGTTAAAAACGTGCCCTGATGAAGACGGCCTTGTCAGAGAGCCTACTGCTTTTAATCTTGGTATTCAAGATGGATAGTTTTGAATTCTCAGATCTCTAGATTTACTAGATTTTTTTTATTTTCTCTAGAAGACATTGTTGCAATTTGCACAGGGATGGCACAGGATGTGATCCAACAGGTTCGTTCCAAACTGTTTACAAGCTGGTGGGCCTGTTTCACTTCTAATAAGGTTATTATTAGGCCTGGATGCTGCCTCCTGAGAAGTTTCTTATTTTTTTAATATATTTTATTATATTTAAAAGGACATTTTTCCATGAGAAATACTTCTTTTTGAGTGATAAATTAGATTTACAAATCAAATGCACTGGTTCCCTTCACCTGTCTATAATGTCTTCAGTGCCCAGTGTCCAGCCCTTGGATAGCCATATGCATTTGGAAGCAAACGCACACGTCATCTGAAAGAGTCTACACCCCAAGCCTCTGTGCTCCTCGTCCGCACCACGGGACGGCACCATGCCACTGTGCCGTGTCACCGTCCGCTTTTCTGGTGTTTATGTGCTCCAGAGCCACTCGTGTGCACAGGCATGGAGGACCTGGATACTGTCTGCTCCTCTGGTGTCAAGCTTTGAACATCACTGTGCTGACCCTACCTCACACTTGCCAAGACTTGGTGTCACAAGCGTGCCTTGCTGCCCGGCCTTCAACGCGGCCATGGAGCAGATATGCTGGGCCCACTTCAGGACTCGGGACTGGTCAGATGCCTATGCACAGAAAGCATGTCCCAGACATGCTGTTGGGACAGCCTCTGGTCGCGGGACATGCTCCTGACTTAGGAAACAGCTCTGAGGTGTGTGTGTGCCCCGTAATGAGGTGGACTGCTGATGCTGAACAGGGATCTCACAGAGGAGGTGGAAGATTGGAACAGGAGGCCAGTCTCCACAAAGCCAACCCTCACTGTGTGAGATGACGTCATTAGTGACCCGTCAACACAGGTCTCTAAAGGGAAAACTGGAACATCTTTGAGGGTGGACATAACCAAACTGACCTAATGAAAACCTGGAGAAAAAAGCATCCTTCCAGGCTTTGTGGGTTCCTGACATGTAGTTAACCTTTGTTCAGAGAAATTTCTAGATACAAATAACTAAATTCTGAAGGTCTGCAATACGCTCTCCTTTTTAAGATTTAAAATTCTTCAGGAAGACCAGTGATATGATCCAGCAGGTTAAGTCACCTGCTGCCAAGCCTGACAACCTGAGTTCAATCCCTGGGAACCACATGGTGGAAGAGAGAACTGACTCCCACATGTACCGTGACATGCATGTATTCCCCCTGCACACACATGTACTTACACAGTAAGTTAAGTAAATAAGTGTAACTTAAAATTTTAAACTCTATGGGATTGTCAATAGGCTATGAAGTACTAGTAATTGATAAAGGCTTTTCAAAGAATTGTGCTTTCTGTTCTATTATTTACACTTATTTAACCTGTGCATGTTACAGAAATGCTGAAAACTTCAGAAATAGTAAATAAAGTATTTTCCCTGGTGTCGTGGTGTCCTTTACTCTTGGTTGCACACATGCCTACCTGTGCCCATCAAGGCCCTGGTCTTTGGCTGGACCAGCAGTAAGCCCTTGCCACACCGCCTCTCACGCCTCACCAGGTAAATAAGTGCATTGGAAACAGACAACTCCATCTGTCTAGGTTTCTTCCTCAGTGCAATATACTGGACGTGTGGGAGCAGCATATGTAGCTAGAGTTTTCCTGCCTGGCCCACGGTCAGGACAAATCTCTGTCACCCGCCAGTCCCACAGCTGCTCAGACCCAACCAAGTAAACACAGAGACTTATATTGCTTACAAACTGTATGGCCATGGCAGGCTTCTTGCTAACTGTTCTTATGTCTTAAATTAATCCATTTCCATAAATCTATACCTTGCCACGTGGCTCATGGCTTTCCAGCATCTTCACATGCTGCTTATCATGGCGGCAGCTGGCAGTGTCTCCTCTGCCTTCCTGTTCTCTCCTTTCTCCTCTCTGTTAGTCCCGCCTATACTTCCTGCCTAGCCACTGGCCAATCAGTGTTTTATTTATTGACCAATCAGAGCAATTTAACATACAGACCATCCTACAGCACTAATAGAGATCGTTATGTTCAAAATATACTTACTGAACACACCAGGTTTAAGGGATGCATGTAACCTGTTACACTTAGTACCTGCCAGGAATTTCCAGAGCAGACAGCGTCAGCCCTGTCTGAGGGACACAGGTGCCGTGTTGTGTTAGGTTAAGTGTTCAGTCTGTTTTGAACTTGCTGCTCTGTGGGCAGGAAAGGAGACATCTCCAGCGTCTGTTGCCATGTCTAGCTAGCATCCTGGATGTTTGTCAGATAGACAGACTTGTGCGATAGCCTTATCTTGTTTGTGATTTTGGCCAAATAGTGTGGAAGTTGTTCCCAAGCGTCCTTAACAAAGTTCCTCTCCCTAGAGTCCTTGAACTTAGCTCCAGCAGTCATCCTACCCGAAGTGGATCTCCTGCCGACTCCTGCTATTTGTCTTACTTGGATGGGAACCATATGTGTGTGTGTGTGTGTGTGTATGTATATGTATATATGTATATATATGTGTATATGTTCTGGTTCTGAGGGACTGCTTCAGACTGAGGCTTGTGCCAGCGGGAAAGGCATCTTGCTCTGCACTAAAGTTCTTACCAATTGTATTTAAGCCCAAGTGGTCCCCTGCCAATTCTGGATGTGGCAGACTAGGTCACAGGAGAGCCAACTGGGGTCTGTGTCCACAGGGCTTGTGCTCGAGAGGGGGTGGGGAGGTGGCCAGCCTTCTAGTTCATTTCAAACTAAGAGCCCTGGCTTTATGAAGTGTGCCCTACCCAGCCTCCTGTTATTTAATAATTCCATGAGCAGGTGGGAATGTTTACAACACATGAAGCTTGGGGTGGCCTAACTAGGTTTCACTGTGCGTGCTGAGACAGGCGCACTCTGAAGCTGAGCATGGGAGCCCCCTACGGCACACGAAAACGTGAGATAATGCTCTGTCACGGGAGTTAGGGGCGCTACAGATTTTAAACTCTTCTCTCGTGGCTTTTTTTTTTTTTTTAATGGTGCTGAGGATCCGACCAAGGGCCTCATATATATCAGATAATTAATTGCTCTATGATGGTGCTACTCCCACAGCCCTCACAATTTTATAATCAGAAAAGTTTTCTAAACGCATAAAACTACACTGGATGAACCTCAGCGTTATACTGAGTGAAGGAGAGCAGCTGAGAAGGGGGCCACATACTGTACTGGTTTATTTGAAGGGAGGACCAAGCGGACAGTAACGATGGAGCAGTCTTGGCCACCTTGTGACATGCACTTCCTGGCCAGCAGGGGGCACATTCCACCCAGGAGCTGAGGTAGCACGGCCCAAGGGCTCTGAGCGGCTCTGGGTGTGGACCGGTGCCAGCAGGCTCCTTTGCTGGAGAGCCAGTGCTGTCCAAACAGCCCCCACGTGGTGAGCTCGGGGCTTTATCTCATTGGTGCCACCTGCCAAGGCAGGGAAGGAACGCCTGGCCATTTGGGGAGTGCTGGATGGTGATACAATGACCACTATAAATGTCAGCCGGGCCGGCGAAGGGTGGCCAGGAAAGGACAAAGGCAGCTGCAGGGTAAGAGGAGTCACCTTCTAAGATGGAGAAGTTCAAGGCTGCGATGTTGTTGGCCAGTGTTGGTGACGTCCTGGGCTATGGGAACGTCTGCAGGGAGAAGAGTGCTTTGGGCTCAATCCAGGAGGAGCTGCAGAAGACAGGGGGACTGGACAGCCTTGTGCTCTCCCCTGGAAAGTGGCCAGTGAGTGACAACACCATCATGCACATGGCAACGGCTGAGGCCCTCACCACAGGTAGGACCGACTGGCTACTCTGCTCCAGGGGTGTTGGGGTAGAAAAGCAGGTGTGTGGCTTCCTGTGTTGATGGCAAACCAGCACCAAGAACCCTGAAGGTGGTGCATGGGTGCCCGGTGTCACCCGACGCTGTGGCTGAAGGTGGTGATTTCATAGTCACCCAAGACCTGGAGCCTGACAGGCAGCAGGTCATGTTTCCCCTGTGTGTGTTTGGGGGGCGGCAGCACGTCGCAGATGGTTAAGCTCCAGATCCTAAAGAGCAGCTTCCCCTTGTTTCTGCTCTTGCACAACAAGCACTCCCCTGGAAGGCACAGGCACAGGTCCTCACTGCAGAGGATGAGCCGTCTGGTTCTAAATCTATTCCAAAGAACACGTTCTCTGGCTTGAAATTTGGACCCACTGAGGACGTTGTTTGGGGATTGCATCTCAATTCCAAATAACTGACGTTAGAATATCCATCAGAGGGATTCGGTTTGGACATTGTTTTGTGTGTAAATGTTACGAGAAGGAGTAGTCTGGATTCAGGAGAACAAAGTGTGTTCAGTAAGGAGCAGGTCAGTGCTAAGATCAACAAGGCGTTCCGGGGATTTCAGAGAACGGTGCATATGCAAACGTAGTGTGTCTTTTCTATGCAAGGTATGCTGATATCCCACAGATCTGACATGCCATCATTGCAAAATTAAGATCTCAGGGCAGCAGTTAAGCCAATCGATGTCACATATGCATCCGCCATTCTGTTCATCTGTCGTGAGCACGCTCAGCTTAGTTCTGTGGTCATTGTATAGGAATGCCACCAATGTCATGTCCCTAAATAGAGCTGAATGAAGCACGTTGATAAGATATGGTGTCACAGCTTGTTGAAATGGCGAAGCATCTTTCTCAGTGTGCATAATTATGGAATCTAAGTATTTATGGATCCTGCTGTCACTGTATAGGAATATCATCAACGGGCCCCTAAGTAACTAGGGAAAAGTAAAACTCATTGATAAGATACAGTATCACACTGTGGGAAGTGGTGAAGCATTGTTTGGGAGTTTAAGAAATTAAGAATTCCAGGTATTTATCTCTTCTGATATTTTTGGCCATACTTGCATGCCTTTGTGGTCAATACCACAGCTCAGAGCCCACCACAGCTCACAGCCTCTGGAGAACAGGACTTCTCAAACGAAACTGCAGTGGGTACTGACTCTTGGGTGTCTGCTTCCTTGATGCTGTATGCACGTCTCTGCACAGCTACATCAAAGGCCTAGTGTGTGCTTATTTCTGATGGGTGTTCTGTGAGTGCAGAATGCTAGGCATGTGTCTGTCTGTCTTTGGGACTTCCCTGGAGAGCTCCTGACACAGATAGGTCCTGTGTAATGGCACAGGGTCCGTGAGGTTAGATCAACGGACCAAAGTTCACTCAAGATGAAGTGGGTGTATTTAGTTTGGGCCATTTTGCAGTATTAGTTTTTGGGTTGTTTGTTTGTTTGTTTGTTGCTTTGTTTTGTTTGTTGAGGAAAAAAGAGAGTTCCCTGCCAGTCTCCAGGAGTACCAAGCATGTGTTGCTATGTTGGGCCCTGTCATGGCCTCTCATTGAACGTCATGAGAAAACACTTGTTGAACACCCCCTTAGCTGGGCCTCTACACCAGAGGTTCCCAACCTGTGGGTTGTGACCCTTCTGGGGGGTGAAATGACCCTTTCACAGGGGTTGCTTAAGACCATCTTGCATATCAGATTTTTAGATTATGATTCATAACAGCAAAATTACAATTATGAAGTAGCAGCTAAAGTAATTTTATGGTCGGTGGGGTCGCCACAACGTGGACAATTGTGCTGAAGGGTGGCAGCATTAGGAAGGCTGAGAACCACTGCTCTAGACACTAAGCGTGTTTTTTTCTGCTCACTAAAATTCAAGGTTTTGTCTTTAAACAACCTCGCTTTTTAACAACTGTAGTCTGCTTTAGGAGGCCTTGGAGACATGTTACTAATGGTGGGCACAACTCTTTGCGGCAAAAGCTCATGAGGCGCTCTCCCACCCGCCTTACATGCACTATCCCAAGACCCCGTCATCTTCACGTTCTGAAAGGTGGCTTTAGTGTTTCCATTCCACAGGTGAGACGTGGACACTTGGCGTGGCTGAGGGACTCGTCCAGTGCCTTGCAGCCACGTGACGGCACACCTCTAGGCAACCTGGCCACAGGCGTGTTCTTCTGTACCCCGTCCACTGCCTATTTATTGCGGTGTTTGGATGCCCTGTAGCCTGCTTCCCAGAGTAGAACCCCTCTTGGCACGTTTAAACAAGTGTCGCTCCTGATTCATCACCCAGCAATGGCTCTGTGGTCGATAGGCCATGGCTTAGCTGCCACAGTGGCCACAGCTCATTCAGGGTCAGCATGTGGCATTCAGGACCCAAGAGCAGAAACAAAGACAAGACCTTGTCTGACATTCTACAAGAACTGTCAGTGGTGCTGCATCTGAGACCTCACTCGGGAGTGCAAAGACTGAGGTGACTTCATCATGTCACCAGGCAAACATTAGTGACCACAGGCTCTCATCCCAGGCTTTGAATGTGGCCCACTTCAGGACTGTTTGCTCTGGGGCTCGGGAATGTAGCTCCGCATTCCTGCCCGCTGCTGCTGAGCCTAGGACTGCTCCTGAAAATCCTTGTGGCTGTAGGAGTCATACAGAGCCACAGGACAAGGAGCTCCATGATAGTGCAAGGCCAGCAGACTGGGGTCAGGCCTCTAGAGGATCTTGTGCCCCTGGTGACTGCCAGGGCCAATCAGTAAGGCTGGGAGGGGAGGTAGGCAGGAAGTGTCTCCGTGTGCCGCTTGCAGGGAACCTGAGACCCGCAGAATGAGGGTGTGCCAGGCCGGCCCCTTCTCTTCCTCTCAGGGACTCTGACAGCCGAGTTAGAGTTAGAGCAGACACAGGGCAGAGTGAGAGTGAGAGGAAGCGGGTGTGACTTCGTGAAATCCATAGGTATTTTACTTCAAACTGGGTTTTGTTTTTAATATCGTGTCAGTTGAGAGCTGCTGGCCAGCTTTCTAAACGGACTTGCCCTTCAGGAGGATGGACTGGGAGGTAGGGTGCTGGGTGTAGCAGTCAGAGCAGCGGGCTGGATTACTATGGATCTTTTTTTACCCTGGAAAAGCTCGGTTTCAGTTGAAGGCAGAGATTTAGTTTTAGAGGGCGTGGGGAGGGCTGGGCTGCCAGGACAGGAGGAAGCTGCCGTCGGTAAGCAGATAGCACCGATACAGCGCCAGCAGCCCTGGCTCACCAAGGGCCTGGCCACATGCAGGTCCTGCCTCCCAGCAGGGGTTCCCAGGCAGACAAAGCTAATTTTACTCCTGTAGGGTTGCCACGAGAAGCCTGTCCGGGACAGAGGGCACTCCTTCTTCCAAAACAAAGTTCTGCCCATCCTTTCTCCTGCCCCGATTCCAAGCTAGGCATGAGCCCTAGGAGAATGGCGGGGCTGCCTCTGTTCCAGGGGCGCTGAGGGCAGGGTGGGAGAAAGACCCTTTCTCCAAGAGCTCACAGCTGTGGGTAAAGGCTCTGCTCCTGTACGGGGAGCAATTCTGACGGGGGTGGAGTGGGGTGATTCTGACGGGGAGGGGGGCGATCCTGACGGGGGGGCAATCCTGACGGGGGGGGGCGATCCTGATGACAGGGAGTGGGGGTGGGGGGTGTTGCGATCCTGATGGGCGCTTCGCTTCTCTTGGCAACAAGGGAGTCTTTGAGGTTTCCAGCCTGCTCTTCTCTGGAGCAGGGTCACCAGCCCCTTATCCTGCTCCATCATCTCTCACCACCCAGCCCTCAGCAAAGACAGCCCCCCGCCCCCCGTGGCCGGTGGAAGGGCCAGTGGTTGTCTCCGAAAGGCACTTCTCTATTCTGAGTGCCGCTCTGACAAAGAATGAAAACCCACTGGTGGCTCTGGAAGAGAACCTGGGAGAGCATGCCCCTCATGCTCACTGGGGACCCCACCTGCTGCCTGCTCCCCAGATGATCAAGCACCCTGGCCTCCACTGTCTGGGTGTGCGTGACTTTGTCCACCGAGCTGTGCATTAACTTAGTGACCAAAACCCTCTGGCTTTGCAGTCAAAACCCGTCAGCTCTAGCCAGGTAAAGCATCTTCCTGGAGAAAATCATGGGTGCTCTGGGGCATGGGAGGCAGAGGTCGGCCAGGCCCCGTGCTGGCCACAGATGTTCAGTACAGACTAGTTCTTTTCACCCCCTGTGCCCCATGATCTTCAGGGGTTTGATCCATTCAAGCCTCCCAAATGCACTTCAAGGGAGAAGGGCACAGTTTGTCAATAGCAGCCATACAGATCCAGAGGGATCTGGATCTCAGTGGAGTCTCCCCGTCTCCTGGTGTCCCTTCAGAACAGTGCGGCCGCCGCTCTGCATGGTATAGTGTGACATAGTTTATTCTCTGCGGACAAAACCCTTAGTAAAAATGAGGGTGGTAGATGTTCCCTAGACTCTCAAGACACCACTGTGGTGGTTTGAGAGAAAAACAGCCCCCCAAAGGGAGGGGCACTATTAGGAGGTGTGGCCTTGTTGGAGGAAGTGTGTCACTGTGGGGGCCGGGCTTTGAGGTCTCCTATGCTCAGGCTGTGCTCAGTGTGACACTCAATTCACTTCCTGTTGCCAGCAAGATGTAGGACTCTCAGCTACCTCTCCAGCACCATGTCTGCCTGCACACCGCCATGTCCCACCATGATGATAATGAACTGAACTTCTGGACTGAATGTCACCCCAGTGAAATGTCTTCCTTTATAAGAGGTGCCTTGGTCTTGGTCACGGTGTCTCTTCATGGCAACAGAAACCCTAAGACAACCAGAATAGGGGTAATGGTCTGCTTAAGGTCTAAAATCCACCCAGGCAGTGGCGGAGTTACCGAACTTTCTCCTCGCCTCTAAGCACACGCATGCGTCCTTGCCACTGATGGAAGCTGTTCCCATGCCCAGCACCTCACCCACTTCCTATCCTCGCTGACATCTGTCCCCACCCCTTCCTCCACAGACTACTGGTGCCTGGATGACCTGTACCGTGAGATGGTCAAGCGCTACGTGGAGACTGTGGAGAAGCTTACAGAACATCGGCCGGACCCTTCCACTATCGAGGGCTGCTCGCAGCTGAAGCCGGATAACTACCTCCTCGCCTGGCACACGCCCTTCAGTGAAAAGGGTCAGAGAGCCTTCTGTTCACAGAGCTGCTGTTGGGAACCCTGTGGGTGTGGGTGCTGGCAGCCCGCCCTGGAACTCGTCCTGGCATCCCCCTATGTCTGGATCAGATCCTTCGCTGGGCAGGGCATCCCCTTGTCAGCCAGCCTTGCTTGCCTGAGCATCTGTTAAAGATGCTGTCCACATGGCATCAGGCTTCCCCCAGAGGGGCTTTGCCATCCATCTCCGGTGTAAGGGCTATTTTCCACTGCCTTTCATTGAAGCGTGTGTTTTGGTGAGAAGTGCCGTCTGTGTCCATGGAGTGTAGCATATAGGCAGGCCCAGCTCCCTCCCACCGCTCAGAGCCTCTCTTCTCTCCCACTGGCCCTGTCTCCTGGTACTCTTTTAGAATGATGAAACCACTGCTCTGCATTTATCCGGAAGGAGGCAGAGTGGACATGTTCCACTGTGGATGCCACCATTGTCAGCCCCCTCTCTAGCTCCGCCAATCTGGGGACCTGGGCTCTCTCTTCCCAAACAGAAAAGAAAGTGCTAAAGCCTGGAATGTCTCTGAAGGGCATGAGAGCAGCAGAGCACAGGCAGGACCAGGTCAGCCGCTCTGATACCACAGGTAGGCCAAGAGAGAACAACCCAGGTGCAATAGAAGGTACAATGTGAGCCGGGCAGCAGTGGCACACGCCTTTAATCCCAGAACTCAGGAGGCAGAGCCAGGCGGATCTCTGTGAGTTCGAGGCCAGCCTGGGCTACAGAGCGAGATCCAGGACAGGCACCAAGACTACACAGAGAAACCCTGTCTTGAAAACCCCCCCCCAAAAAAAAACAAGGAGGAGGAGAAGGAGGAAGGAGGAGGAGGGGAGGAGGAGAAGAAGGAGAAGGGGAAGGAGGAGGAAAAGGAGGAGGAGGAGCTACAATGTGAGAGGTGTAGACGCTAACACCAGGAGAGATTATTGGAACAGGTATAAACATGTCACTACAAGAGAAGCAGTTGAAGTGGGTACCGCAGGACTACCATTCGAGTTTCATTTCCATGACTGTGATAAAAAAGCAATTTGGAGGGAAGGGTGGTTTGTTTCAGCTTACAGTTCTAGTTCTAGGCTACATTATGGAGAACTCAAGGGAAGAACTTCAATCAGCTGGTCACATCACAGTCAAGAGCAGAGGGAAATGAATGCATGTGTATTTGCTTGCTTGCTCTCCGCTTGATTTCTCCACTTTTAAATGCTCAGGATCCCCTGCCTAGGAATGGTGCTGCCCACAGTGGGCTGAGTCTTCCCACATCAGTTCATTTAACCAAGACAAACCCTGCACATACGCCCATAAACCAACCCAATGTGGATAGTTCCTCGCTGACACACTTTCCAGGTTATTCTAGACTGTGTCACGTTGACAATTAAAATTGACCATCACAACTACCAACCAGGAAGACTTCAGAGTCATTGCTGTGGTGCAAAAGGAGACATATAGGGCTTCCTCCCAGGCAGGGCAAAAGTGATACAAGCCCTTGAGAAGGAAATCCAGCATTATCTGTCAAAATTATTTAATAAAAATGCCTTTTGGTCTGATCATCTTCTTCTTCTTCTTCTTCTTCTTCTTCTTCTTCTTCTTCTTCTTCTTCTTCTTCTTCTTCTTCTTCTTCTTCTTCTTCTT